TTAGAAAAGTTAAATTGTATGATGTTGTTCAAAGATCAATGTTGTTTGCTTGTAACTGCATGTTGACAACTTGATTAGTAAAGGTAATGCGTGGGTGGATTTATTTAGTGTGTGTTGGATTCTTTTCCATCACAAATTACCCAAGTAATCTACCCGAAATAAATGTTTATGGATTATGTTACATGTTATATGAGAGTAGATTTGGAAAAGAAAGCTGGCGCAGAAGTAGACAGTGCTATGGAGATGGATGTAGGTACTTCGGGAAGAGGTTTGGTTCCGGAACCTTATATGGGGGAGAAATAATAGGTTAGGGTTTAGAGTTTTTATAGGCATTTTTTTAATATTTTGAGCTTAAAGTTTGGCAACACATTGGGTTAGCACATTTTAACTTACAAATTAGGTTTAGAAAATAATACCCAAAACAAATAATTAAATAAAAAAATTAATTTAATTAATTCGGTTCGGTTCGGTTTGGTTCGGTTTCTAGATCACTAAAACCGAACCGAACCAAAAGAATTCGGTTCGGTTCGGTTTTTTCAATTCGGTTCGGTTTTTTCGGTTTCGATTCGGTTTGGTTTTCGGTTTTTTTCAGTTTTCGGTTTTTTGAACCCACCCCTAGAAGAAGGTGCTAATGCTAGAACTCTCAGTAATTATCCTAGATAATTACTTAATCAATTAATGTATCTTTATACCTAACACTTGTTTTTGTCTATTTCAGATCACCTTCGAGATCGACATGCAAGAGTCGGGTACGTCAGGCTACATAACCGAGTTGTGGAATGATCAGTTCAGGGAGAAGTACGTGATGCACAACCACTACAGGACTTTTGAAAGTCGTGAAGAAGCTTTGACCCATCCACCCTTGCATTTGAGCATAGGATGGACAAGTGGCACTGCTCTGCCGTTATTTTCAAAATTTATAAATTTTGGAATTGGACGTCTTCTAGGGTAAAGCAATTGGACGAGTGAAGCAGTTTCCCATCAAGAATAAATTTGTTTTTCAATTTCAATACGAACATTTTGGTTTTATTAATGAAATATATTTGTTTCATACTATGCTATTAATATAATAAATTTGTCATGTAGTACTACGGTCTAATAATATTATCTTCCCTTTTAGTTTCGATTTTTGCCAAAGGCAAATTCGAACCAAATTATTATAGTTAATCCATTGTGAGGCTTGACCTACTTCCCACCCTTTAGTGTAGAAAATGTTATATGTACTAAAATTTTCTTAATAAAAATAAAAAAATAAATTTAATAATATTTTAATATATATTTTAAAATTTTTAAAAACGTTGCCCATGATATAAATCGTCGGGTTAAAGATTTAAATTTTTGTTTTTTTCTTTTTTTTGTAAATAAAGATTGCCCGATGAATTGTCTGTTGACAAAAATTAAGGCTTTTTTTTAGGGTAACTCTCTGTTTACTACTCTCAAGTTTCGTGGTTTTCAACATTTAGTACATGAAGTTTTTTTCATCCCAGAGTCATACCTAAAGTGTTAATTTTGGGACAGTCTCATACATCTGTTAGTCTGCCTATTAAGTTTCTCGTTAATTGATGATGTGGCGCCCACGTGGACAATGACTGGGCACCACGTGTCATTAAAAATATTAAAATAATTAATTAAATAAAAGTTTTTTTTTTTAAAAAACAACAACAACAACGGGAAGGAAAAAACGCAAAACCCCTTTCTCTGCAAATCAAAACAACAAAATATTCCGATCAAATCATCCCCAAAACCCAATCTTCAATTCAATCCCCCACTCCCAAACCCTAAAGTTCACTTCTTTTAGATCAAAAGGAAAACCCCAATTCAATTAGTTTCAAAGTTTCAGTAAAATTCAAACTGAAAGACAATGTTGAACTCAAACCACCACCAACCCCCGTCTCCCTCACTCCCCCTTCGTCTTCCCCACCCGACGTCCCTTCATGCCCTCCACCCCTCCATCTCTGTGAAACCCTCATAACCACCATTGTGAACCCCTCACTCCACCATCCTCCATTTGAGAAAAATATAAAGGTCTTATCTTCTTCGTGGGTTTCTTCCAGGCAGTGGGTGATATGCGGCAGTTTCAGAGAAATGCCTCCGGCCAGTTTTCAGCGCCGGCGTCTCTCAAGTTGAGTGGGGATGGCAGTTTGGGTCCCCCGATTCCACTGGTGGTAGCAGCGTTTCAAGTAGACGAAGGGAACCCCGTTAATCGCGCATGGTAGCAACCTCGACCTGGGTTAAATGACGGCGGCTCGCCTTGATTGCAGATCTGAGGCTCCGTTGGACTATGTGGACCGAGAATTTAAGGAATGGACGCTTAGATGTCTATAATTTGATGAAAAAGGTAAAGAATCAAAGATGGTTGTGAGATCCAAGATTGAGGGTTTTTGTTGGTTTTGAAGAAATAAGGGAAATCAGAGGCATTGATTAGGTTTTCTGCGAAATGAAAGATGCAGCTGTTAGGGTTTTCTGGTAAAAGATGAAGAGGGAGGTTTTGGGTCAAGCAAGTCGCCGTCACCACCGCCCACTCCCTCTCCATTCTCGAGACCTCGTATCCGCCGTCCACCAGTGCTTTTGTGGAGATCTGACCGGCTGCATTACGCTGATCCTCAATTTCCACGCCAAGGGCTGTTTTGTTGTTTTGATTTGCAGAGAAGAGAAGGGAGGGAGGGAATTTTGGGGGAAGGGAAGGGGCTGGGTTTTTTGGGAAGGAGAAAATGCTTGGTGATAGAGGTGGGTATCAGGGAAAAGGAAGGGTGTCGGTGGATGAAGGGATGGAGGGGTGGAGAGGGTGGAGGGTGGGGAAGATGAAGGAGGTTCTGGGTTTTTTTTCTTGTATGTGTGTGTGTGTGTTTTTTTTTTTTAAATATAGTTTTTTAATTAATTATTTTAATATTTTAATATTTTTAATGACACATGGTGCCCAGTCATTGTCCACATGGGCGCCACATCATCAGTTAACAGAAGTTCTAACGGAAAACTTAACGGATGTATGAAACTGTCCCAAAATTAAGACTTGAGGTATGACTCTGGGACAAAAAAACATTCATGTACCAAATGTTGAAAACCACGAAACTTCAAGGTAGTAAACAGAGATTAACCCTATTTTTTAATTTAAATTTTGCCCGAGGAACAATATTTCGTCGGGCAACAATTTTTTGTCTGTTTCCTTTGGTCAACGCTGGCTTGGCCAACGAAATTTTCATCGACAAGTTCGTCGGGAAATGTGTAGTTGCCTGATGGATAATGTTTGTCGGGTAAAATGTCCAACGACAAATTTTTTGCGATGAATTTTGTCGACAGATATCCGTTGCCCAAAATCTTAGGTGACGAACTCCTGCTTTAGGAGTCGAATGTTTTTCTTCTGACAAGCCTTTTTTTTTTCTTTTTTTTCTTTTTTTTAGTGGAAGAGTATCCCACTCTGAGTACGGTTTCCCTTGTGCTGCTTGATTTTCTGGTTAAAACAAGAACTCTTGTACATCGATCCTTGTTGTTATGCCTTCCAGTCTTATGATATCAAGATGCCATTTTTGTTCTCGTAACAATATTTTTCAAACCTTATGATGCCTAAGTATACAATTGAAGTTATTTCTGTGTGAATTTTGTCACGCTTTCATGTTGCCGTTTTGGATTATTGTTTATTGCAATCATGGTGAGATTTGAGTCTTCTGAACAACTTTGAGGTACAGTTGAAGTTTTATAAAAGGTTTGTCCAAAGCAGATTTTCATTCACTACAAATAATAATGTTCCTTCTTGCATGTACTTGGTGAATGTGAAGAACAAATTAAAGGAAACAGACTCAAATGTTTGTTTTATATGCCAGCTTATGGTTATACATGATTGGACACCTAGAAATATTATTAGGCGAGCTTTCGAAATATCAAGATCGAGGGTCGGCAAGGTTGAATTAATTAGTAATCTTAATTACTGAATTATTCACAAGTTACGGGTAAAACCCATGATGCCAAATAAATAAGATATTCTAATGTGGCAGATTCAAGAAAAAAATATATCTAAATCAATTTTCAACTTTGTATTCACGGCACAATGTACTTCAACAGTCCCCAATTTGTTTAATACTAAATAATATTCATGTCGCAATCATCAAGTTAATTACCCTAAAAATATCGTTAATCAACGTCTAATAGGGACGTAAATTGTACTAGGATAGCATAGCAAGGACGCAGAGTACGCACGGCCTTAAATTTGTACTGCTAGGATTAGGAAGTAATAAGTACCATCTTATAAATTTGAAGTTAAATGGAGAACTAGTCACGACCAAAAAATAAAGCAAGGGAAAAAAAGGTGAAGTAGTCATTAATTCAGAAGTCCAGGTATGAAGAGAGTACTTTGCTATTTGCTAATGGGGGTGAGAAGCCGCAGGTTGAGCCAGTTAATCGGAGCTCGAGCAGTGAAGAGACTGATAAGCCCTCCTACTTAACACCAAAAGGGTATGTGCCTGTTTGTGTTGGTGTGGATGGTAATACGAAGCGTTGCATGGTTCACACCACGTTGCTTCGCCATGCAGAATTCTTGGAGCTGCTGCATAAATCAGCTGAAGAATATGGTTTTTGCAATGAGAGTGTTTTGAGAATTCCATATGAAGCGCAGGATTTTGAGGAGCATTGGATGGTCAAAAGGTCAAAAGCAAAGATTTACAAGGTTGAACCAGTTGTTTGTTTGATGTAATGACTTGGATAAATGGTTTATCTATTAGTAATATATTTTCATTGCTAATTAATGTTAGCTTGGGGATTAATATTCATGTGTCAATTTACAGTGTTCTGGTTTGTGAAATGAAAATTAGCTTGGAGATAAATATTCAAGGGATCCTTCCGCATTGCCTTTTTTTTTTCTCTTTTCCTTTTGAAAAGCAAAATGATTTTTACAAAGATTACAACTGGAAAACATTCCCACTACAAAGGCATGCCATGTCATCTAGGTGTGAATTCATAGGAATTATATGTTATATCCTCGCCATCTATGTGAGGACTCCTCTAACAAAATGAAGACACCACTAGACCAAAAGCAAGCTAACTTTCTTGAACCATTTGAGCCTAGTTATACAGGAACTTTCAAGTCATTTCCTAAAGTTCACAGACGGAATAACAGAAAGGATGAAACTATCACTCAAAAGGTATGTGTCTGTTTGAGTGTTGGTGTGGATGGTGATATGAAGCGTTTCATGGTTCATACCACGTTGCTTCGCCATACAGAATTCTTGGAGCTGCTGCATAAATCAGCTGAAGAGTATGGTTTTTGCAATGACAGTGTTTTGAGAATTCCATATAAAGCCCTGGATTTTGAGGAGTATTAGATGATCAAGAGGTCAAAAGCAAGGATTTACAAGGTTGAACCAGTTTAACTTGTCATGCGTTAATTTGTCAGTAGCAAAATTGTTCGATGTAATGACTTAGATAAATGGCTTTATCCATTAGTAATATACTTTCATTGCTAACTAATGTTAGCTTGGGGATTAATTTCATGTGTCAATGTACATAGTTCTTCTGGTTTGTGAAATGAAGATTAGCTTGGGGATTCATATTCAGAGGATCCTTTCACATTGCCTTCGATTTTTTTTCTCTTTTCCTTTTGACAAACAAAAAGATACAATGATTTTTACAACTGGGAAGCACACCCACTACAAAGGTATGCCACATCACTTAGGTATGAATTCATCACTACTAAATGTTATCCTCGCCATCTACGTGAGTTAAATGTAAAGGCTCCTCTAACAAAATGAAGACAACTACCACTAGACAAAAACAAGTTGGTCTTCTTGAACCATTTGAGTCTAGTTATATAGCAACTTTCAAGTCATTTTTCAAAATTCGCAGACGGGACAACAGAAAGGATAAAACTATCAGTCAAAACACAAAACCGACCAAGTAATCATGGAAAAAAGACACTGGAAAAATGGGTGAATAAATATTAGAACTTGAGGCTCAAAGAAAAAGATTCACTCAAGATGTGGTGATTTGAGGAGCTAAATTTTGGCAATTAATCGTAGCTAATAAATTGACTTGATTGAGACAAATAAATTTTCGTTCCAACTCATCCAACGGTGGGAAGTTTTTCTTATTTTTTTTTTACTCAGAGCTATATTTGCGGGCTTTATGATGCTTGCATTTTTATTATTTAGTTTCTTTTTAATGTTCTTCAGGATGACTAACTCAAAAAGATGTAAGGTTTCCTATTGTCTGCCCGAAGAAATTTCGATCAATATCCTAACAAGACTACCCGTAAAATCTCTTGTTTGGTTTAGGTGTGTAAGCAAGCCATGGCTTGGAAGCTCGAATTTTATTGGCACACATCTTAACAAGGATGTCACAGACCTTGCCCCTACTTATCTTATTGCCCTCCACGATTGTAGGGGTAAATCCGAACGCCGGCACTACTCCGTTTTCTGTAATGGAACATTTGAGGAGTTCTTGGAAATTGGACATCCTCTGTGGAACACAAGATTTTAAGATACGTGGTTCATGTAATGGTTTAGTTTGTATGTCAGATTGGAACTTGAACTTGAAGAGTCGTATATGCATATGTAACCCATCAATTAAGAAGTATGTCAGATTGGAACTTGAACTTGAAGATGATGATGGTTTTTATGTTGTATATCGACTTGAGGAGTCTGGCCATGATCTTGCATTTGGGTTCAACCCACGGCTTAATGACTACAAGGTAGTGATGATGATGTCGCTTCTCAAGGAAAGATCCAAAAACAAGGAATTATAGTTTAAGCACAAACTCTTGGAAGAGTATTGGTGCAAATCCTGGTTGGATCAAGGACATGGATAGATATTTTGGATATGAAATGTTCAATGGAGTCGCACATTGGATTATGGGACATGGACGTGTAACTGAACCTTACTATCGTGTGTCTTTCGGTACCGGCATTGAGGTATTTAGAAAACTGAAGCTACCAATTGCTATGAGCAGTAGGGGTAATCTTAGACGTATTGATGTTGGGAGTTTGGTGGTTTAGATTTGAGCCAAAAATGGAGCCCCCATCGGCTAGTGAGATGAGCATCTATTGGTTTATAAGGAATGGTACCACACACATGATTGCCGAGCCTTTTTGTAAAACTCCATACCCGTCTACCTCAGGTGGCTAAATTAGGTATCGACCATCCTCAGCTGGAAGGCTAAACGTTGCGTGTCTGAAGAAATTTCGATGGACAACCTAGCAAGACTGCCTGCAAAGTCCCTTCTAATTCGGTTTGTGCGGGTAAGCAAGCCATGGAATAATTTGATCGGAAGATTGGGTTTTATTGGCTAGCAATGCCACAAACCATGCCCGTAATTTTCTAATTGCCCTTCATGAGGCTAAATGAAGGTGAACTCAAACGCCGGTCCCTTTTCTCTTATGATAAATTTGAGGAATGCTTGGAAATTGGACACCCACCAATTATCAAAAACGATTTCCAGATACATGGTTCAAGTAATGGTTTAATTTGTATCTCAGATTGGCACTTGAACTTGAAGAGTCCTATATGTAACCCATCAATTCAGAAATATGTGATCCTTCCTAAGACCAGCATCTTCCACAAGGATCTTTACTATGATCCTTCCAAGCTAAATGATGATGATGATTATTATGATGACTATGATCCTTCGGATGATGGTGATAATGATGATGACAACGACAATTTCTATGATAGAGATGGACGTACGGAGGCTAACCAGAGGCGGCTTTAGGGGTGTGCAAAAGGTGCAGTGGCACAGGGCTCCGAAATTTTTAGGGCCCCCAAAAAAAAAATGTCATCCTCTAGCATATGACATATGAGTAGGCCTGGCAAACGGTTCGTGTTTATCGTGTTCGTGTCGTTTTCGTGTAACATCTGTTATCTTAACAGGTCGTGTCGTGTCACACCCGTTATGACCCCTTAAAAAATATATTTTTTTTTGCTTAAATTTGCACATACCACACATTGCCACATAAATATTACTTCAAAACATTAAAACACATTTGTCGTTTAAGTACTACAACTACATTTGAAAACAAGAATCTAATAAACAAACATTCATACACTACTAGTCTATTACAAAATATTAAATGTGCAAGGATATGCAAAATGAAAGAGTTTTTGTTTTCAAAGTTGTGAAGCCTTTCTCAAAAGTTTACACCTTGCCAATGGATCTCAAAGCATGCATGTTATTCCTTTTACAAAATCCTTCATTTTCATCGATCATCATGACATAAGATTTTGTGTATCCACTAGTGTCAATATTTTAAATTGAAAATCGAATTCATTCATTGTATTCATATAGGGTCAAGGAGTGTAGCTGTAAAAAATCATCAAAATCAGAGTTAAAATAACCGTTAAATCGTGATTTTTCGTTGATAACCGGAGAAAAGTTTAGTTACTTGATCTCTGAATGTTTGTTTTTTGCAATTTTTGGCGTATAAGATCTTGAAGCATATACAAACGAGTTTGACGGTTGGATCGTTGAAATTAGTTTTGTAGAATGCGTATCCCATCAAAATGATAAATTCACTAACACTTTATTTATACTTTCATTAAGTATAACATAAGATTTTGTGGTATCCACTAGTGTAAATATTTTAAATTGAAGATCAAATTCATTCATTGTATTCAAATAGGGTCAAGGAGTGTAACTGTAAAATATCATCAAAATCGGAGTTAAAATAACCATTAAATCGTGATTTTTCGTTGATAACCGTCGAAAAGTTTTGTCTTATTACTTGATCTCTGAATGTTTATTTTTTTCAATTTTTGGCGTATGCGATCTCGAAGCATATACAAACATGTTTGACGGTTGGATCATTGAAACTAGTTTCGTAGAATGTGTATCCCATCAAAACGATAGATTCACTAACACTTAAGAGTTTATTCATACTTTCATTAAGTATAACATAATATTTTGTGGTATCCACTAGTGTAAATATTTTAAATTGAAGATCAAATTCATTCATTGTATTCATATAGGGTCAAGGAGTGTAGCTGTAAAAAATCATCAAAATCAGAGTTAAAATAACCGTTAAATCGTGATTTTTTGTTGATAACTGTCGAAAAGTTTTGTCCTGTTACTTGATCTCTGAATGTTTTTTTTTTTTTTTGTGATTTTTGGCGTATGCGATCTTGAAGCATGTACAAACAAGTTTGATGGTTAGATCGTTGAAATTAGTTTCATAGAATGCGTATCTCATCAAAACGATAGATTCACTAACCCAAGTTTATTTATACTTTTATTAAGTATAACATAAGATTTTGTGCTATCCACTAGTGTAAATATTTTAAATTGAAGATCGAATTCATTCATTGTATTCATATAGGGTCAAGGAGTGTAGCTGTAAAAAATCATCAAAATCGAAGTTAAAATAACCGTTAAATCGTGATTTTTCATTGACAATCTTCGAAAAGTTTTGTCCCGTTACTTGATCTCTGAATGTTAATTTTTTGCAATTTTTTGCGTATGCAATCTCGAAGTATATACAAACATATTGACGGTTGGATCGTTGAAACTAGTTTCGTAGAATGCGTTTCCCACCAAAACAATAGATTCACTAACACTTAAAAGTTTATTCATACTTTCATTAAGTAGAACATAAGATTTTGCGGTATCCACTAGTGTAAATATTTTAAATTGAAGATTGAGTTCATTCATGGTATTCGTATAGGGTCAAGGAGTGTAGCTGTAAAAAATCATCAAAATCGGAGTTAAAATAACCGTTAAATCATGATTTTTTGTTAATAATCGTCGAAAAGTTTTGTCTCGTTACTTAATCTCTGAATGTTTGTTTTTTGCGATTGTTTGCTAATGCGATCTCAAAGCATATACAAACAAGTTTGACTGTTGGATCGTTGAAATTAGTTTCGTAGAATTCGTATCCCATCAAGTTCAATGGTGTGTGTGTGTGTGTGTGTGTGTGTATTAAGTAGATTTAAATTTATTTATTTTGTACGTATAACACTTAAGACAATGAATGGTATGTATATTTAAGCCGATCCAATGGTCACCAATTTTTAATATTTAATTTAATATATATATATAATTATTATAGTTTTTAGGGGTATAAAATTGGCACAGCCTGTCCCGGATATGTTTATTATTTTACCCTCGACGGCGTGAAATTACTTAAATGCCTTGGACGTTTTGAGTTGTGTTGTGTGGTTTAGACTTGGGTGGTAGACCAATATGCTAAGTTCTAATTATTTTGGACCAATCCTTTTTATTCATAAGTATTTGGAACTAAAGGAATTTGTTTGTGTTGTTTGATAGCCAATTAGGACCACATACATCCATACACACACAAAAACACAACCCGTTGACCATCCCTCTCTTGGATTTCTACCATCGTCCGTAACATTGTACGGACCATCTTCAAACCAACCTGTTTCTTCATGGATCGACGTTAAAAAGGTAATATTCTTGTTCCCTACAAGCTTCTGAGTCCATTCGTACCATTTTTAGGACTTGAAAACTTGGAAAACCCGAGAAACCGATATCCCAGTTTTGAGGTACTATTCATGTGGTCCTAATTATGGATGTTTCAGGAGATTTTAAGCTTGTAGGAATCTTTAGAATGTCCTTACGAAGCTCGTAGAAGAAAAACCAAGTAATTTGGACGTTGGGAAGTCGAGTTTGACGAGTTGTAAGTTTTGGCCGGATTATTGAGTTTTCTCCGTCGAGATTCCGTGGATTTCAAGCCTTGAAATTGGTAAGGTTTTGTTCTTCTAGTTACAAGCTTCATTTTGGGACAAATTTGAGGTAATTTGGTTAAAAATTGACTGAAATATCAAGGTTTTTCAAATTTCCAGTTTTCCGGCGACGGCAACAGTCACCGAAGTCGAAGGAAGAAGATGAGCGAATATTCCGTCAACTTTGATGAATATTCTAACGGCGTCAGGTTAGTTTTAACGGTATATGCTATTATTTAATGGAATATTCCCTAATGCCATTAGGGTTACCGTCAGTGTGCCTGTGCGTGGGCGACACGACTGGCCGTGCCTTGGCGGGCGCGTGGGACGTCGGAAAATTTTTCTAAAAATATGGGGATGTTCGTGAGGTTGTGTAAATCACGTTGGTATATTCAAACATCCCATTTGAGCAATGTATAAGAAGTTATTAACTAATTTTATCTATGTGCTTTAAATAACATTTATTCAGTTATTTCGCATATAGGTGAGACCTATCCTGAGGACGAGCGCAGTCAAGGGTGACTCGGGGGCTACGACCCTTCGACATACCAGTGAGTGGGCTTTTGGTTTTCAGTATATATTTATATACTTGATATTTTCCCAGAAAATGCATTTAAATGAAAGTATGTTTGGAAATGTCATGCATATAAATTTCTATGAATTAGTATATGATGCATAATATGAATTGGTGTTGTGGACGCTCAGGTAAGTACTAGGTGAGTTATTTTTTGTTATATGAGATATTGATAATGTGAGACATGGTTGAGAGCTCATGAACCTGCACCCCAGGTGATTATAATTTAGCCAGAGATATGGTACAGGCCTGTTTATGATGTCACCTCCCGCATCGTATGCTCACATTGGATCCAATTTAGGTGCACAGTCTTGTCGTACAAACCATTATAGGTGGTTCCGACTCGTAGGTGACTAGCGATTTATCGCACAACTATCTTGAGAGCGTAGCATTGAGCATAACTATATTACACTCAGTCTTGTTGTACAGACTTTTACAATGGTTCTGACTCGTGTGCAGTGTAGTGTCGTATAGGTCACTTTCAGTGACTCCGACTAGATTGATTAATGAGCTATGAATTCAGTCGTACAGACCTCTGCAGGGGTTCCGCTAATATGTTATTTTTCATGAATATATTTTCACCTAAGTTACTTATTTTGTTTTATATTTTGGGTATGACATACTTATGAATATGGATATGTGAAGCATGATTTGATATATATATATATATATATATATATGTTTATATATGTTTATATTCCATTTCTGGGAAAATTATACATGTTTTACAGCGAGGGGTTAGAGCATTGATAAATGAAATGGTTTTGAAAAACTTTGTTTTTGTCCACTCACACTTTCTGTTTTGCGCCCCTCCAAGTTTTAGATAAGCTTGTTCGTTGGTGGCTCACGAGGATTGAGTGGAGGTTCTGACAGACTATCACAAATGTAGGGCATCTTTAAGTGTCGTTTAATTAGTACTTGTTTTCTGGACTGAACTTAGGCTACTTACGCTCTGATTGTGTATTCACACATATTCTAGCACTTGTTTTAACTAGTACTCTTATGAGTTGGGTTTTATTTATTCATATTCTCTATTATCATTCCACACTATGCACATGGCTACGTCACCCTCACGTGACGGCCAGCATGCTTCGATCTCGGTCGGGGTGTGTCAAAAATTGTTAAATTAATATATATAATTATTATAGTATTTTTTTAAGGTTATAAAATTATTAAATTAATATTTTGCTTATCGTGTATCGTGTTACCTACGTGTATATCCGAACCAACCCGTTATCTTAACAGGTGCTTATCGGGTTACCCGATAACGATCCGATTAGTTATCGTGTTGACCTGAACACCTGTTAATTTCGTGTCGTGTCGTGTCATGTCTAGTTATCGGGTCGTGTTAGGAATTGCTTGGCCTACATATGAGTACAAATTTTCTAATAAAATTTTTTTTTACTGAAAAGCAGAATAAAAAAAAAACTAAATATATTAATTAAGTGGAGTCTATGGTAAATATATTAATTTTTCACCTTCTCTAGCAATCAAAAACTAACTTGTGTATTATTTTTTGTACTTTTCTCTAGCAATAAAAAACTAAACTTGTGTATTACTTGCTTCCACAAACACAAGCATATTTTCATATCTCTTTTAGTCGTGATCAATGAACCTTAAATCCTAATCTCATGGCAATTGGAGATTGTTCAATTAGTAAGAGTAAGATGCTGATTTTAATTAAATTTGAATATTGATAGTTGAATTTTGTATGATATATTGTTCAAAAATTTATTTTTATTTTTTAAATAAAGAGGGCATTTTTATTAAATCCGCACAAGCCCCCAAAATGTCAAAGAAAGCCTGAGGCTAACCATTGTCTTGCATTTGGTTTCCAGCCACTCCTTAATGACTACAAGGTTGTAAGGATGATGTCGTTTCGCAAGGATAAATCCATTAATGTGGAAGTTTATAGTTTAAGCAGAGTCATGGAAGAGTGTAGGTGCAAATCCTGGCAGGATCAATGGCCTGGATACATTTTCTGTATCTGCAATGTTTAATGGAGTCGCATATTGGGTTCTGGGAGATGGATATGCATTTACTACTTGCTATCTTTTATCTTTCAATACCGGCATCGAGTTGTTTAGAAAACTGAAGCCACCAAAAGCTATGACCAGCGATGGTAATCAACCTAGAAATGTTGCGCAGTACAAGGAATCAATTTGCTTGTTGCAGCACATTGTAAGTGAGAGGTCGCATTTGCAAATTGGCGTATGGGTAAGTTTGATGTAGTTAGGCCAGTTGGCAGGGCAATGTGCTCGCTTTTTGCATCCAGGAATAAATTTAGAACATCGTCTTATAAAAACGGAAGGCTGTGCAGGACTAGCATGGCCAGTTTACCACATTTTGTCAAAGAAATAGAATTATATAACTTGTCGCTTCTTTAACCGAACGTTTTACTGGTTTTCAAATGGAATCATCAAATATAAACACATTCAGTTACAATACAACTTACAGTGTTTAAGCTGGTGCAAAGGAAAAAAAAATGATGACAAACTGGCATTCCAAAAACATGCCATAAGATTACAAGAAGCATTTGCTCCAAGACGTAACAAGCCGAAACTACTAATGTGGACGGCTGTGGAAGCTACAGAAATTAAACATTAACGCAGGACAACAGAAATCGACCAACTGTTAAATAGGTAATAAATATCAGAACTGCGCAGGTATCGGAATGCCAGATGTACACAAATCACTTGGACTGAGAAAAACTTATTGCTCTTGAAGTGCAGAAGAGATCCAGTTGGAGGCAGCTGTTTGAGTTTCTGATTCAAGATCTGGTGAAAGGGCGAGAGGGGTCACCGAAACCTGTTACTCCAAATTAGGAGAGAGTCAGACATAACATATCGTCCAAAAAGGTTCGATGTATATAGCTACCCTTAAACAATATGTAGCATGGCTACAACTAACAAAAAAATTTAATGAGCACTCAATCATATATAGCTACAGCTTCCACGAGCTAAACTGACCTTTAAAGATTTTAAATTAGTTCAGAATTGCGACCTATGCACGAAGCCCTCCTATTTTACTATCTATTATTTCTTAAGCAATCATAAATAATAGATGCAAGCACATTTTACAACAGCAGCATCTCAAATATCTCATGTGGTCAACAGAGGAGCAGAAATTATCAGAATGAAAGATTAGACTTAGAGAGAGGCAATGACGCTTTCCACTTACAAATCCGCTTTCAAGTGCTCTGAAATCCAGATCCTCATCCGTATCTTCCTGCTCCTTCTCCACAAACTGCATAGACAAATATGAATCCACATGGATTAGTTAGTTTATACATGGAAGTACTAAAAATATCAGTTCATGGAACAGAAAAGAGCACAAATTAAGAGCAACCTATATCATACAAATGGAAAGCAGAAGTTAACATTTTTATCTATACCGAACAGTAAAGTTATAATTATAAGTGCAAGAAGAACCTTGTAGAAAATTTTATGCTATCCTAGCCCATCCTTTATATTTTTTATAGGTTCTCATGGTTTAACTATTCCAATGGGGACTTTAGTTTTCTAGGTTTCCAAAGCAAGTGCGACCTTCTGCCCCACAGAGAAGTTGACAGATGGGAAAAGATCACTTCCATGGTTGCCGATTATAAGAAAGCCTGAGAATGAAGAATCACGTTTGCCCTTTCAGACCCCTAATATCTCTCACATATCATCGTTAGAACAAATAAAACCCTTCAATACGGTTGCCTCCAAATGTAACCTAATATGCCAGAAATTTGCATACCTCTAATCGGAAGTATTTTTTCACCCGCTCAAAATCAGATTTTCCCGCAGCTCCAGTTGATTCAATCTCCACATTCATCCTCTGTTTTGTCACACGGCGAGCTGCACCCTAAGAAAAAGAACAGGGATATAAATCCAGAAGTGAAAACCAAGTGCATTGCAGTTTGTTTAATCAGAAAAATTTAACAGAAAAACAAAAATCCGTCAACTTAATGAGAGGTAGGTACTTACAGCAGCAGAAGCATCGCGACCAAGCTGTGCAAGCTGAATACCAAGGCTTTGTTGACTGTTCATAAAATGTCCAGCAGGATAACGACTAGCTGAAACAGCTTGCCAGCAAGCACTAGATCTCAACTTGCTTTGCTTGGTTAATTTAAAACCCTATCAAGTGAAAGAAAGTACCATACATAAGTATGCGACAAAGTATATAGGACTTCCAAAAGATGTTGAAATCACGAATTCATATTAAAGGTCACAAAGTGGTTATAGAATTAAAACTAAAGTACTTTGAGCAACAGAAGTGTGGGAGCTAATGGCCTCTCATTTGAAGCAAGATCAAGATAATCCACCAACTATGTCCCAGGCAAGTGGCTTGTAGCACAGTTGGTTAAGAGCTTTCGCCCTTGCACCTGGGGTCCCATGTTCGAATCCACCCCCCCCCCCCCAAAAAAATCGTTTGTCAAAAAACCTACTATGTCCCAGCTTGGGACAATAACTCTTCTCTTTAAGGTTGCTGATTTTCTGATTAGTTTTATCGTTCAATTAAGAGTTGAAAACCAGATTGTAACTACCATCCAAAACAACACCGAGGCCTTTTGAGATAAAACCCCACACCTGAGGTCCATTGGGCTTGATACCACCTAAGGGATTAGGCCTAGGTGGTTAAGTGAGGACAATATCGGTGCATGGTGGTCTTAGTAGTGGACATTTATGGAGCCCATGACACAACACGGATCCTACTTCTCAGTTAACTGCTCAACAAGATGCAGAGTTACAAGCTAAGGTAAAAAATCAAATGAGGTATTACTTAGTGGAAATCCTAAAGCCAACGAGAAAATATCAAAATCTTAAAGGCTTGAGACTATCGCTGACCATTTCCAAAACAAATGTAAAACAATGGTTCAAAAACACAAACCTTATTTGACAAAGGAGACGATGGAATCTCTATATTCAGGAAGCAACTTTTGGGGAAAACTCCCTTGTCAATATCCCTTATAGCTGCATTTATCAAAGGTAAACATACAGAAACAGCATCTTTGAAATCATTTTCTTGACTTTCACCCTTCCTCCTACAATTACAACAGCGAAGATTAACTTATCAACATTAGATGCAAACAGAAACTGAGCATAAATTGAAGGGCTTGTAAACTCACCAATTTAGTGATATTGATAAAGATGGTACTCCGCTTATCAATGCTTCCCTAGCTCCAGCAACAGCACCAGAGTACAATCTGGTAAAAATAAGTATTGGCAGAAAACATTAGCTTCAAATTACAGGCTACACGTTTTTAGCAGGGAAACGAGATAGAAAGTCTGAAAAATAAATTATATCACTTCAGCAGAGAATGTATTAAAAGAAACTTAATATATTGAATACCAGAACCAGAGACATTAGAAATGATATAGCCATATAAACTACAACTCACATATGATGACCACAGCTTGATCCCCGGTTGATTCCACTAATTACCTGAAACCAGATTGTACTTGAAAACTCAGTAAAATGCCGAACAACAGAACCTACATACGATCTCAAAATGACATCATGTTAATGCTAACCAGCAAAGGCTTTGACCAAGAAAACAGTGCCCCAGATAACGCTAATGAAACACAATCCACGGGAGTCCCTGGGTAAAAGAATTGTAACAAAACCTATTACTGTCAGTGACCAAAACCGAAATGAAAAGGCAGAAAAGAAAAATAAATAAATCCCTGCAGGTTTGTAGCATGTCACATAGAGTAACATTAAATACAAGAAATGAATAGAAATGCAGAATTTTGTCACGGGCACAATCATATCTTGCAATACTGAAACTACAAAATGATCAGAATCACATTGCAAGTACTAAACTTTACAAGCTCTAATAATAATAAAAAAAAGAATGAATAAGAAACAAATGATCACCTCAATTGTGACAAAATAGAAAAACAAAACAAAGTTCACCTATTCCAAATCCTAAATCAGAAAATTCCAACTGAAACAACTCAGGAAACAAAGACAAGAAAATGAGTAAACGAACACAGAAATATTGTTGTACCTGAAACTTCATATGCTGTGGCACCATTTATATCAGCAGAACTCACAGCAACCGTTTCTTGGAGGGTCACAGAATGACCTGACACTGATTTGTCCCTAAAGCAAGGAACCAATTTCGCAAATTAAAGAAACTGATAATACATTACCAATTCAAAGAATGGAGGAATCCCACAGACCCAGATGAGAAAACTAAGAAAAACAAGCACAGCAAAAACATTTGATAATCAAAGAGAACCAACCTACTCATTTGAGAAAACTAAGGGGAGGAAAACACCAAAAAGCACTAAACAATCAATAAGTAAAATTTTAGAAACAAAGAAAAGAATCAGAATTTACAGAGAACCCATATCATTAAACTAGCACAAAACACAGAGAAACAAGAAAAGAATCAAAATTTACAGAGAACCCATATCATACAAATAGCACAAAACAGAAAGAAACATAGAAAAGAATCAAAATTCAGAGAAACCCCACAATTGAGGAGCGCAGACATGGACATTGTAAAGGCCTTGGCGGACCAGAGCTTCAACGAGGAAAGTGAGGCCAGGGGACTCAATCCCATCGCCATTGGTGACCAAAACAATAGGCTTGGAGCTGTCATTGGGGTCCTCCTCCGCAGTGGTAGCAGCTTCAGAAGTAGGGGGCTCAGTGGATTTAGCAGCTTTCTCTCCTTCCCCACCAGCCCTTTTGCTCAATACATCTTGCAGATTGGAGACCAAGCCCGGAGGCAACAAATTGGGTTTCACAGATGTGGAAGTCATAACACTTGGGAGAGGTGGATTGGTAGAAAGATTGATGATTTGGGTTCTGGGTCTGTTTACAGAAATCAAAATCAAAACCCTAGAGAGAGAAAGGGGGAGAAAGGGGAGGGTGGTAATAAATAGATGAGATTAAAAAGGTGATGGGTGATATAGATGGACCGGTTCAAACGGAGTTATTTTTAGAGGGAGAGAGAGAGAGATAGAGAGAGAGAAAGGGGTAAGAGAACTTTTGCTTACTTTGTCTTAAATTGCTATGATTACAATTAAGAGATTGGGAAGAAGAACAGTGAGCGATGTGAATGGGGACTGGCTACTTTAGCTACAAGTTTTCAAAGTTTCTTCCAACTTCTTTTGTTTGTTTAATTTATTTTTTTTTATTTTTGAGAAATCATCAATCAAATGAACTTTTGCTTGTAATCTGGCAAGATTAAAGGGTAAGTTTTGATTTGTAGATAAAGTTTTTTCAAAAAAATAAATTGGGGTGAGAATCTAAGAAGGGGAGGTGAGACAAGGAAACGGATCCTTCCAGATCCCTTCCTCTTAATTCACTAAATTATGGAATCTATGCGTTGAAATTTGATCCAACGGTTGAAGTTATTATAACTTTTAAAGTGGACCCCTACTTATAATCATTTGATCAAATTTCAACGGCATAAATCTCCTAATTTGATGAATTAGGAGGAAAGGGATCTATTTGATCAAATTTCACCAAATTACATGGTAGATGTATGGGTAAATTTGTAATAAGAAGACAATGTTAATTAATGAATGGCTAGAATTCTATGCAAGGACTATGAATATATAATACAGGAGAATGATTCTATTCTTTCCTAATCTCTCTCATTTTATATCAGATTTTATTATCTCCTAATCTCTCTCATTTTATATCATCTTACTTGAACGGTTATGGTTAAGTTAGGTCAATATTTTATATTGATTTTTTTATAGAGACAATAAGACAAAAAAACAATATAAGAAGAGGGAAGGGAAGAGATGAGAATAGGAAGAGAGAGAATCATACTCTCAAAAGTACTCATATTCTTCTGAGTTCGATTTAAAATAATCTTTGTTTCTTTTTCTTTTTCTTTTTTTTTTTACAAAAACACTACAAGTAAAGGGAAGTCTCTCTCACAATTGATAAATGTTAAAGAAACTATTTTAAAAGTGAAACTCTCTATAAACTCTCTATCGTCTCATCTTTTTAGCATAATTCCCGTGCCAAAAAAATAAGGTGACGGAGAATCTATGAAGAGTCTGACTTTGAGAAGGCCTTCTTAACATTTCTCCTTACAATTAGTAGTAGTAGCAATACAATTCTAAATCCACCGTTCAGATTTACACACCAAATGCAACATATGAACCTTAATTAGTGCTCAATTGGGATATGTTTTTAGAAATCACTTACTCATTAGTGCTTCTATCACAAATGGTGTTTTACTGCAATAGCGAAAAACAATTATGTATATGCATTTTGGTGATGAATTCGATCTCCACCAATTCATGTTCCGCCTAACATCTAACTATTAACTCATTGACATTATCACTCTACTCATAAGCATTTCTATGACAAATGGTTCTATTATAACTACTTTGAATTTTGATTAAAATTTATGCATCAAGCACTTCTTCATAAGGTGTTTCTATGATTCCAAAAGAAACATGTATCAAGTACTTCATAAAGTACATTTTCATAAAAATCTTTATGTGATTCCCTAAATTAAGAAGCATGTGTCAAGTACTTCTATGACTAATAAGTAGTTCTAATATTTTTGCTAAATACAATAAGAAACATTTATAGTTAACGTGTCAACAAGCAATTTATCTAGAAGCACTCTCAAATTAGCAATAGAAGGCCGGTTGTAGATGTTGACGACTTTATAGTATTAAAGTAAATTTTTATATTTTATATATTAATTATGTTGATGGACAAATGAAAAGAACCCTTATCTAACCAACTCCAAAGTCGATTTGAAGGTGAACTAATCAGAACAGCAAATCAATGGAAAATGTGAAAAATAAAATATATTTGATTATGTGTTTTTAACTTTGGATAGTGAAATGAACAAATAGTTAAAACGACAAAGAACTGAAAGAAGATTGAAACAAATATCTTATATATTCCAAGGGGGGGGAAGGTGGACTGCAGCCCAGATCGTGGCTGTATCGATGTTGTCAAACTTCACTGATCCTAATTGAATATACCCTGTGCTCTTCAACAGGTTTTTGTTTCCCAATAAATTATATGTAAGATATTTTTATAATATTTTAAAATACAGAATATTTTTAATGTTTTAACTGTTAATTTTTTTATTAAACATATACAAATTACTACCTAAAAATGGTTAAAAAGTTCAAAGTATCTGATACTTCAGAACACCAAATAATTTATGATACAGGGCTATGGGAGAAAGGAGAAGAAAATGGAGAAGAGGAGAAGGGTGTGAAAAAATGAAAAGAAAAATAGTTTTGGAATATATATATTTTTTTTTAAATTGGACAAGAAAATGGTTTTGGATGGAGTGACGTGCATGGGAGAGTTTAATTAATAAATTAATGAAACGTAAAAACATTTTGGAGTGGGATTGTTACAACTAGCTTTGTTTTCTAAACTTTAGCTTTCTGGTTTTACTTGTTCGATTAGCTGCCAAGTAAACATTAGATTAGAAATAAAGAGGAGACTACACTTTGGAGGCATAAGATTTGAACTCCTCTTTCACTTACGCTCACCCTAATTAATTATGGCATTTGGAATGAATATGCGATTCTTCTTCCATATATATAGTGCACTTGTAGATGACATGAACTTTCACATGAGTATACAAAACCTAAAAATATCGGTGCATTTCGAAAAGAAGTGTTGAACCCTCAGGCCGAGTCTTGAGGTTCGCTCATAGGCCTGAGTCATGAGAGCTCAAGCCTTAGTCACAGACGCTTGGATCCTAAAATCTCATCTTTCATCTTCAAGTTCTTCACTCAAACACACCCTACCAATAACCATTAGACCTTTACATGTTTATATTTATATAAAAGTACATTCTCTCCGGCGTCACGATAAAATTATCTTTATTTTAACATTTTCAACACAACTCCATAATAGGGAGAGGTATTGTATTCCATGAGATTGCTTGTTGCTATTCTTATTCCTTTGTTTATGAACGTGCAAGTGTTGAGTGTATGGGTCAATCTTTATATATTAGATCAACAACTTTACACAACCATGGAATATATTTGAGCACAAAATCCAGTTGTCCACGTCTTGACTTTAAGGAGCAAAATCATCCATAATCCATTCCCTAATCCACAAATTAAATCTTAAACACAACTTGTAATATCGCATCTAATGCCAAATGGAATGAAACATCACCATTCTGATTTGGAGAAAGAGAATCGATGGGATTTTAATTAGTTCGTCCAGTAATGCATAGATTCCATTAGACATGCACGATTAATTTAGGTACGTGTGGACCCTAAGTTCGTAGCTAGAGGCTAAAGTGTGTGCATGTCACGTTCTTAAGCAGTTGGGTTGCACTCTACCACGAAAACAGTCTCACTCATCTTATATGATTCTGAGCCAAGCATATATAGCTTCAAGGATATGCATGGTCACATTCACTACCATTTGCCGTGAGCTTTAAGGGGCCACGACAACTTCAGGACGAAGGGTGACCTCTCCCTTGCTTGTAAGGGTCTAGCTTATCACCAACATACGTGAGAGACTGTCAATTGTTGAATGACAAAGATTTTACAGTAATTCTCACAAGTTCGTGAGAAATTGACAATAATTGATTGATGTTGGTTCTGTAAGTAAGTCGAACATTGTTAAGGAAGCTTTAATAAATATGGTTTAGGTTTTTCCTCGGAAGGTATTTTTTTTCTTTATTTTTCTGTAATTAAAGTGTATATTTTTTAACTGATAGTTCATGCTATGAGGAATTTTTTACTTATTTAGTTAGTTCAGCATTTAAATTTTGTAGAGTCATCAGAACAACCAATTTGCTTTTTCTGCTCCAAGATCTCCCGAAACAAGAACCTAACACATGGTTTATTGATAGTAAGCAGATTAAATAAAGGAAATTTTAACGAAAAGCTCCCGATACTGGTCATTTTAACGAAAAACCACATTTTTACACTAAAAAGTCAATCATGGTACTATTCACTTTACCTTTTATTTTGTCCTTATCGTTAAAACTCAAAGTTTTCAAGTCATTTTCATTAGTTTTTCTTTCAATAAATGGACTATAAACTCTTATTGCCCTTCAAAAAGGTAAACGTCTTTAATCTTTCTGTAAGTTGTATTTGTGATATCACTCATCTAGGTTGTGTGGTTAAAAGCCGTATTTTAATATGATATGATCCCGAGCCATCATGCGGGGATCTACTAACCAATGCAACCAGTAGGGGTTTTGTAGAATGATAGGTTACCATCTTCCTTCAGTCTTTCGTTTGTCTTCCGGTACGTTGAAGCACCTTTTCTAACTTGAGTGATACCAATCCCCAGGGACGAGACTAATCTGCTCCAGAAGAGTGCCCCATTAAAACCGAGAATTGCAGGAATGAAGAAAATAAATAGAAAATGAAAGAAGACCAGATAAATGGTTCAATGAAAACGTGCGCCTAAGTTCACCTTCATGTTTGTTGAGATATTTTTAGTAATAAATGTTGAATAGATCCAAGTGGTAAGGACTTAGGAATGAATTGACAGAGAAACTTGAGAAGTCCCCCTAATCTAATAAATAGGCCTCATAATGATCTTTTGCATGGTCCATACAAAATTGAAAATTTCTGGGTTCTAAAGTCTAATGGACCATCTGTGGAGGCTGCATCAAACATTATCTTATCCACTACCTGAAAGCTTTGCTTGAATATGGAGCGACCTAATTTAACCTAGGTATCCATCAGAGCATTTACACCCTTAAAAAGCCTCTTGAGTAATCAGTGGTGAAGTCAGGAATTGCTGGGGGAGAGGCGAATTTAAAAGAGTGCAATGTTAAAAAAAAATAGCAACAACCAAATCCTTTTATATGGTAATATCTTTCATAATTTATCAAAACAAACAAATTACAATTGTTGCCGGAGAGATTTCATGTCATGAAAATGTCGCATAATAGGTTCATTGTCAATAAAAGCAAATACATTTATCTCAATATAAACAATCATGCTAACACTCAACCATTGATCTCCCAACCGATGATAAAACATCGATTATTACTAGCATTTCTTGGCATGATGTGGTCTTTAGGTTGACAATGATCATTTTGGAGATAGTGTCTACGAATTGCTTCGAGATAATTAGGTGGTTAAGCAATCATTTGACGTCAATGTCCAAGGTTTGTAGGAAGATTAGCCAATAATTCATCCAACTCAGTGGCCTCACTGTTGTGAACTACCCAAAAAATTCAAGGACTACTTGGAATATTTGAAGGAGAAGGAGGAATACTCAGAATAGTTTGAAGGAAGATTTAAGCATTGTTTCTTATAGTATTGTTCAATTACGTAACTATATAATGGGAAAAGAAAAAAAAAACTCTTACACTCTTAGACTATACTGATATGACTAATAACTAATCAAATCAACAATTCAATTAATCAATACTAATAATTATCCAAATTATTCAACAAAAAAAATTTAATTCAACTAATCAATATGAATAATAGGATACATTTTTCAATAATTCAATTAATTAATAAATAATCAAGAATTCAATTTTTACACTAAACAATAATTTCATTCTCATCATTAATAATAGAATTCATCTCAATAATCAATAACCATAGAATTCATCTCAATAATCAATAACCATATTAATGTATTGTCCTATGATTTTATACTAATTAAATAAAATTTTGTATTAAATAATTAAATAGGGTTTGAAATGGAAGCTAGGAATTGGGGAATTTGTCGTGTTTGGTAAAATGGGAGAGATGGGGTAATGCTATTGGGAACTAGTGGTCCTCCAATATTTTATTTTATTTTAATAAAGCTGTAAAACGATGTCGTTTTACTTAATAAATAATTTTTTTTAATAAAAACAGACCCTGCTGCGCAGGGGGCGCTACATAGCTGCAAAGGCCAGAAAACCTCCATACTTTCCCAGTTTCCGGCCGAACCAAATGGGCGCTCCTGGGCTTGTTTTTCAGTGATCAAAAGGGCAGCGGTCACCCCTCGTCCCTATGTAGCTTCGCCACTGCGAGTAATAGGCAATTCAATCCTTGGCGGATACAGGAATTTAAGGTCGGATGGTCCCAATATAATATTAAAAAATTAAACCGTAAACTACAACTTTTCATTCATAATTTTTGTACCAACAACATTACGAGCAACAAAGACTAAATTTGTTTATGATAAAGTGTCATACCTAAAAATGTGTCATGATATTCATGGTCTCTGAAGACTGGAGAGGTGATTGGTGTTGGCTGGTGGTGCCTTCGGTTGGGTGGGATGGGGATTGGGGAATGGCCCAATAGTAAACAATTAAAGGGTTATAAGAAGATTTGGTAAAATGGGCTCTTTTGAAAGTCAGGCCCCTACGAAACTTAGCCTCCCATGTGACTTAGAGATTGTTTTCAAACCCATAACAAATCGCACCATTTCACCAAATGGCTTGGGTAAAACGACTTCGTCTAGCCAAGTCATTTAAAAAGGAATAATCAATCTTCTTCTTCTTCTCCTTCTTCTCCTTCTTCATTTAAAAAAGGAATAATTAAATTTTATGATTTTTTTTGGTATTTTTAATTATTTTTATTTTTTATTTTTTAATTGTAACTGACGTCAACCTTGCGTCACAACCTAGGCTAGTCGATTTTAGCCTGAGTGAGCAACTAGGCTCCCCAAGAGCCTAGTAGATTGTGATGGGGCGGAGGAGTTTTGGAGGGAGGGAGGGGATTTAATCTACTATACCATCCCCTAGGAGATTTGAGAGAAGTGGAAGTGCTCTCACGTGGTTAGCATTGCTTGGATATGAGCGTATTGTGTCAAACTCGCTGTCAAAACAAATATAGATTCTGACTTTAAGATAGCTAGTTTAAACTAAATGAAATATTAAAATGTCCATGACTACTTTGAAATCACCTTTGACATGTGAACTCCTTCACAAAAGGCCTATTTGCAAGCTGTAATTCATATTTGACGAAAAAAGAGTTTGTAATTCATAAACAAATAATAACATTGAGTAATGTTAGGCAAATTAATTTTTTAGATCAATTTTTCAAACCGCATTTGTAAATCATATAATGTGTTACGTATTGAAAAAAAATACATTAATCAATATTTAAGTAGTAATCCAATCATAAAAAACTATGTCATATATTATTTCAAAATTTAATTTAAATAGAGGTTTCCTAACATTGCCAATTGGGCCTTCCCATCCCCGAGAAATCTGCGTTGTTGTGGGGCCTTGGGCGGAAGTGGGATGTGAGCAGGTCTTGCGCCCTCACAAAACGACAGACAAATCGTGTCGTATGCATCCTCGCCTGAAAAAACTAGGCTTGTCAAAACGACTTAGGGCAGAGTCGTCTGATTTCTGCAATTTGGATTCCACTGAAACACGAACTCCCTCTGCGCGCTCTCTCTCCGTAGCACACTACCTTTTCCCCACCAAAATCCCATCTCAAAGTCTCCGAATTTCGAACCCGAACATGCACGGAGAAGGTCAGCAGCTTCCCTCATACCCAATTTACCCAAGGAAAATCACCGCATGATTTGATAATCTGACCGCGAAACTAATCGTTTCTGTGTGCTTTTGGGTTGCAGGCGGGGACCGTCGAAAGGAGAGGATGAAAAGCGACTGCAGGAAGATCATGGAGAGCATCAATGCAATGTGTTTCGAAAACCTGAACGACGAGCAGGTGCACTCGCTGGTGCTGATGCGGGAAATCGCGCGCGGAGTTTTGACTAATCGGGTCGAGAAGGTAACCTCCAGCGACGTCAAAAAGGCCTTGTCTTCGAGCATTGAGAAGATGGTGAGTGATGGGTTTTGTGTTTACTTTTCTGGGTTTTGTTTCATTTTTCTGGGTTTATGTAGTTTTCTCGTTTGATTGATTGTTTTGGGTGTGGATGTGTGGTGGGTTGTAGGTGGATTCTTCTAGGGAGGTGGCGAACATTTTGGGTGGGATTTCGTGTGATGGGTTGGGTACGGACGATGTCAAAAAGGTGACGAGTATGAAGGAGATTGCAATGGGGATTGTGAGCAAACGACCCAGAGTTGTAACCATGCTGGGTTGTGAGCCTGGTGAACTGGTATGTATATGTTTGTGAGCTACCGTGTTGATTTTTCAAAGTTTGTGATTTGTTAGTCTACTTTGTTGTTTTTGACTTGGTTCTTGTTAGTGTGGTTGGCTTACTTGATGATTGTTACGCAGGGTGATGGAGTTGATGATTATGATGTAAGTGAAAAGAATGTGTGGAGTGGAGGGATAGAAAGCGAGTTTAGAAATGAGGATGGGACCCCAAGTGAGTTGGGGGAAAGCCCGGTTTATGGGGTAACACATGCGTCCAATGGGAATTCCCAGTTGGAAGGACTAGAGTCTGAGAGGACGATTGGTGAAGATATGTATGCAGCAGTGGAAGCAGTTTCCAAAGATGAAGACGGTTGGACAGCGATGGGAGGAAGTGTTGCGGACGCAATGATGAATGCTGGCCATGAGGAGCACTTTGGCAGGGTTGAAGGGTTGATGTTCGAAGATGATTGCCTCGTGGTGGTAGCTGATGAGTTTGGGAGTGAAGATTGTCAAGTTGGGGTGCAGAATTCTTTGTCACAGTCAACCCGTCAGCACCCTTTTTTGTGGCCTTCAGATGACGGGATAAACTTAGAGTGGGTTTGCGGCATGATGTCTGCTCTTGAGCAGTCACCAGAGAATTTTCAATCAGTGTTGTCAGTTTCTTTGGTGGATAAATTGATTGATACTGCTTCAAGTATCCTTTGCAAGGAGCCGAACTGTGTGGCAGTTGATTGTCATAAAGAGGATTCAAGAGTTGTTGTAGTTGGCGACATTCATGGACAGTTTCGTGATTTACTCCATCTCTTTGAACATGCTGGGTTTCCCTCTGACAACCAATTTTATGTTTTCAATGGAAATTATGTTAATAGAGGAGCATCGGGCTTAGATGTGTTTATGGTCTTGTTGGCTTGGAAGGTAACATGAAGATAGTGGTAATTGTATTTACTGATTTTTTTTTCAATCTTTGACCTATTGGTGTATTTTGATCTGTGAATTGACCCGGTAAGGAAATTTCATAACAATTATTATAACCTTTTATATTGTATATGTTCACGCACCAGCTCCACTGGCCAAGCTGCATGCTAATGCTTTTCATTTGTTTCGATGTTTTTTATTATGTAGCCTAAGCAAGTTGCATTGTGATGTTCATTTGGATTCTGAAGCATCTTGGTACGCTTTGGGGATTTTTAAATGATGTTTAATTATTTTTGTTTTGTTTTGTTTTATTATTTTTAGGTCTTGATGCCTTCTAGAGTATATCTACTTCGTGGGAACCAGGAGTCTAAATATTGCACATCTATTTGGGGTTTTGAGGCAGAGGTTAAGGCTAAAATCGGTGATCAAGGTGAATATGTCTATAATAAATGTCTTGACTGCTTTAAAGAGCTCCCTTTGGCTTCGATCATAGCCAATTGTGTATATACCACCCATGGAGGTCTTTTTCGGAGCATGTGTACTACCCCTTCGAGAAGATCCAAAAGAAAGAGGGAAGAAAAGCTGGAACTAGGTTGTTTAGAAGATTTATCTAAAGTTGAAAGATCTCTTATAGATGCTCCAGATGAAGGACCAAATATATTACTGACTGATGTGCTATGGTCTGATCCATCAAAGGAAGATGGTTTAGTTGAAAAAACATTTCGAGAACGGGGTCTTTGGTGGGGTCCTGATTGTACTGAGGCTTTTCTAAAACAATCCAAGTTAAAGGTAATATTTATAAACATAGCCCTTTACTCGAGTTGACATATTTAGAATAAACTTGTCTGTCTATAATTGGTATTTCTCATACAGGATGTCACAATTGAGACTTAGAATCTTAATTGCAGACCGGAGAACCAATTTTTGTTACAAAATGACACCCTCTAACATTGAGACAGAATTTAATGGCATATCAAAGCTTTCCCTCGGTTTGGGAAAAGATCACTTGCTCCTTTCATCATTCTAAGATTTTTTATTTTGCCTTTGTTGCTATAGTTGATCATTCGATCACATGAAGGCCCAGATGTAAGGGCGGATCAAGATGAATTTGGTGACATGCTAAGTGGGTACAGTTTGGATCATGCCGGAGACTCGGGGAAACTGTACACACTGTTTAGTGCTGCAAATTATTCACAGGTTAGGGTTCCTCGGTCTATCTTATTTTATTTTCACACCTTCATTCCAACATCAACTTTCAATTATGTTTTAGTTTACTGATTAAATCTAATTTCTTTTTTATTTCTCTGGAAAGTAACTTAGCAATATTTTTCATTTTCGAGTAAACTGATGGAGTAGTAGAACTAAGTCATTGGTTTGTCTAAAATGCAGTTCGATAAGAAGAGGTATAACAATGAAGGGGTCTATGCTCTTTTGGAGCCTCCTAATTTTCAATCTCCTTCCTTCCACTCATTCATGGCTGCAGGGAGGCCAAAGGTACAGACCAGACCATTCTTAACATATTATTCCTGGATAGTTTTCTATTTTTGTGAGTGAGAAAAGGAAAAGTTATGGAAAAGAGATTAATATTAGAGAACAATAGGACAACATATGATTTTTTAAGAGAATTAAGAGGCTGACGCAGCCCTTTTGCAACTTTGGACCACTTTTCTTGCTTAGAACATGTGCAATACGCATAAATTTGAGTGATGACCAAGAAAAGTTTGCAAAAGCCAAAAAGTCCCCGAATTTTGTGTACTTATACATGAATATATCTAATTATATTTAATTTGCTTGATGCAATTTGTTAACAGGTAGATGCTTATGTTGATAATGGTGACAAAGGTTTGGTCGTTGTTGGTGAACCAGACTTGGCATCAGTGGTAAGTTAGTTCTTCATTTCATTTTCCATTCTTTTCCTCATTAACAATTTTGATCAATCTGTTCATGGACTTCAAACATGCTATGTTCCAGTGCTTGAGTGGGATTTTGATATCAAGATGGAATATTCCTTTTCTCAAGATCAAGTCTAACCAATTGACTCTCTATTGTATATTGTATCTGCAGTCTGCAACTGGTGCCACCTCTTTGTCTCAAACATCTGTTCCACCTTGTAGTAGTTCTGAGGTTAACTTCGAGGCGTTGGGCATTTCTAATCCCCCTTCTTGCAGTGTTATGGTGGCAGATGATGCAGGTGGCACCCAACTTGTCCAAGTTCCAAAGGCTCCTGTGGTGGAAGGATTGCCTCTGCCTTCTGACTTACAGGTGCTAGATCTTTCAGGTTGCAATTCTTTCTTTAGTAATTTCTTATCAAATATCTTATAAAAATTCTTTCTTTATTAGTAGAGGTCTAAACTTATGGTTTTTGTGCAGGAGCCGCACAAAGCTGCTTATAAGTATTTCTTGGAGCTAATTGCTGGTCTGAAGCATATGATTTCAACAAGGGTGAGTAGGCTTCATATATGTTCCTTGGTCCTTCGTTCACATAAAAATAATATGTTGTGTCAACTGTCAAGCAGGAAGTTCAGACTGGGACGAATGAGTCAACCATGCAAAAGAGAGCTCGGCATCAAATAGAGACGCCACAAGAGGTCAACTTGAAACCTGAGGAGTAGACACGACATGTTATGAATTACTAGAGAGAACAGCCGGCTTTGATGGTGTCTGGGTGGCTGGGACAATAGCTGGTATTCATCTGATTTCTTTTCGAAAGAGAAATGCATAGGTGCAAGATGCAGATTCACAAGTATGATTGATTGGCAACTTGGCAACACTTCTGAAATGAGGTTCCCTGGACAGGTCCTGGCTATCCATCACAATTACTAGACACCCATTACGTTGCTGAACTCAAGCAACCCAAGCTGGTTCGCGATACCGTCTCTTAATAGTCGAATGGACCACAGCATGAAGAAGCTGCTGAATCAAGAAGCTACTGCAGGTTGTGAAAGGTGGGTACAATTGGAGTTTTCCCTTTTACTGATCCAAGCAGTGAGCCAGCAACCACTGGTGTTCTTACGGTATGCAAGCAGTTGCTCTGATATTGCCCTTTATGAAGAGCTGGAAAGATCGAGCAAGAACTCGTGGAATTTCGTGCTATTGGGACAATGCCTATTGAAGTCTCCTGCAACAACGAACTTGTTTTGAAGGGCGACTACAAATCTAAGACGATTTGGTTTGTCATGGAGGATGTTGAACACAATTGAAACGGTTGGCTTGATGGCTTTGAAACGTCAAAATTTTTTATCTTGTAGTGTTAGAGATTAGTCATTGCTCTTATGTCCATTTTCCTCCTTCGTTGTAAATGATAGTGGACTGCCTGTCCTCTATACACAATTGTACAAACGATGCGTACTCACGGCGTTTCCAAGCCGCATAAACTCGTGTTTTACGACGCATCCTACTGCAGTTCCTTTCGCTAGTGTCTTGATTCATCTCATTGTGAACGGTTGTACCTCATGGGCAGATCCAACGTCGAGATTTTCTGTTCTGTTCTTTCGAACATTTAGCACTACCATTTCAAATATACAACATAATAACCATCTATTCAATCGAAATTTTAACAATCGCAATCATCGAAACCTAGGATTGGCAGTTCTTTTAATAAAAATAAGTTGTCCTTCTTACACCAAAAAGCACTTCTTTGCAGCTAAATGCATTAGCCACAGTGATACTGGAAGTGCACATCCCATCCGGATACCTCTAAGCTGCTGCACCATGAGACTGCATCTCACGAAACAAAACCCTTTCAGCATGCTCGGAAATCCTCGGTAACTAGCTGGATCGCTTACTTCACCCATCCTTGCTAACTGGATCATCCTCCCTCTCTCTTACGTTTCACGGCATTCTTAGCCCTGCCATTTTTAGAATTCCCAACGACATCCGTCAAGCATACATGCACCGTCTTCTTGATTTCATCAAGTAACTCCCCATCTTGGGGGTTCATCTGGTCTCTTGACAATGTATCAGCTATGCTCGCAATATCTCTCATAGAAGCAGCCTGTAAGACGGAGAAAAGTGAAAACGTAGCTCAGAATGATTTTAATGATTATTAAACATCATCGACTTGTAGGAAAAAGAAACATAAACTTACTATTCTCTGAAACTCAGATTCTAAAGATTCAGGCCTCCCCACATATTTGCGGGTAATTCTCTCGTACCAATCCATGTACGTGTTTTCATCAACACCATCGTTACCTTCCAAAATATGGACTCGACGCTCTAACCATTCCTTGATCTCTGAGCGCATTTTTCCTTTGCCCCCCAACTCTACATCCGTTGACAAGTCTACCCCCTGATCAACTGCAGGAATCTTCCTCTCCCATTTCTGGACATCCTCTGGTATATGTTGAAGCATGCCAAACTGCCTGAGGCAGCGATCAGGGAGGTGTCTTTCTGCCTTGCCAAAGCATATCAGGATCGTTTTTGAAGTCCGTAAAATCAGATTGTTTATTATATCTTCCGGTATAATTGTGTGATCCAAATCTTTGTATGGAAACCACTTAACCTGAATATCAACACCATACCAATTGTTCTCATCATCATCCAAGAAAAAGAATATCATATAAACTGAGAAACGTGTAGTTGGACTTACATCAAAAGGTTGAAGCGAATCCAAGGCCTTGCGGTAGGCAACTATGTTGGTTTTCGATCTTGATCCAGTTGATCTCCCTTTCCACCTAAGAGCAAATGGAAAAAAACCATCGCTCGACTCTTCATTGAACTTCGGTTGGCCAACATTCAGGTGATAGTAACTCCAGCACTACAAAGAATAATAATGAACAAAAGTCAATCCTTTATCAGAAAGCCACTGAGGCAGGGAGAGATGTCATGAAACTGAAGAGAAAAAGGAAGCTCAATGTTACCTGCAGTAGCGTCAAAGAGCCACTAATCGTGCCTTGAGATTTAAGGGAGGCATTACCAAGAGCTCTATAGAGGAATGCCAATGCTGCTGCACCCCATGCATATTTTCCAGCTTCTTCAAACTTTTCAAACAGCGGAAGAAATGTAACAGAGACTTTATTTCCAGTGGTTGTGGAAAATATTGTACAACCAACAATATATAGGAGGTAAGCACGAGTGTGGCGCTCAATCTCTTCAATCGGTGCATCTTCAGGACATCTAGAAAAACACTCTCTCAACCAATTTAGCTTCATCATTCCCCCATTCAGGTCCTTCGGTGATTTCCCAAGCAAGTCTTCACATACCGAGTTGGGTGTCTTCACCGGTACACCAATAACAGGTTTTCCATCGATTGGTAGCCCAAGTATAAGTGCAACATCCTCAAGCGTTACAGTCATTTCTCCAAGAGGCAAATGAAATGTATTTGTTTCTCTCCTCCACCTCTCAACAAGTGCCGATATTAGTGAATTGTCAAGAACAATTGTCGGTATTGATCTGAAGTGTTTAAAACCGGCCTTCTCAACCAACTCAACTTGTTGAGGTATGAGTCTCCATTGCTCAAGCATCGAAGTGTGTTCATGACATCTAAGCACGCCACGCTCCTATAAATTCCAATCGAGTTATCAGCACTCATAAAAATTCGTAATACTGAGGGAAACCCGAATTGTATGCAAAACGTTGGTGTCTAACCTGTCCATCCCAAATCGCTGAAGAGATATGATTTTCTTGATCATAAAGTACAGACTTATCAACTGGTCCAGGATCTATGCGTGACTCCATTAAACTTATAGTAACATGAATTATCCTAAATTCATGACAATATTAAACTTTTGCCTCATAAATTATGCCAATATATACATATATAATCAACAAAATTCTGTGATGAATGCATACAATATAATTGAAATTATAAGGGTATTTAAATTGAAACACCTTTTTTTGGAAAGTAAAAATAATCAATGAATACACCGAATGTGATAAAATTCTAAACTCTTGGGGATACAAAATGGAAAAATGAACATCTAAACCACAATCAACAGCCGCCCAGATTATTATTAACTTCAATTTCTTTTTTTTTTTTTTTTTTTTTTTTTTTTTTTTTTTTTTTGTTTCGCATATTTTCTCAGGAAACAAACAGAAAACCAACAAAATTAGAGACATAATTGGAAGCAACAAAACAGATAAATCACAAATTAGTTGTGTACCGAAGCTAGGGTTTGCTGAAACGATCAGAAATCATGGAGCACTTGGACGAAGACGACGGGAACCAGAAAACGACGAGGATGGCGGTGTCGTCTAAGTTCGTGAAACCCTCGAGGATAGATGTGAAACTAGAGTCGTTTTCCTCTTGGGTTCTGAGACTTCACTGGAGATGGCGTCGTACGCTGCCGAAGACTATCCAACGGCGAAGATTGCGGAGTCGTGTGGTTGCGTTATAATAAACGACAATTATCATTTCCGTTTTGTCTTATAAACGTCATACGGGATATAAGAAAGCAGAAGAAAAGCCCAAATACCAATCTTTGCAACTTGCAAATTGCAAATTGTGGATGGATTGACTTGTACCAAGTTGATATGCCATCTCACCCTAGTTCCTTTTTTTTTTTTTTTTTTTTTTTTGAAAATTGATATGAGTTCAATTTTATGTCCCAGTTTTGGGATTAGTTCAATTTTAATTATTTTTCAATTAAATCCGATGACGGTGTCCTTCTTTTTATTTCAAAGTTAATAAAAACTGACCTCAAACAGGTACGTAATGTAAAAATTCCACCCAAATAGATATTTATGCATGGCTCCTAAGTACATAATTTCTTTTTACCCCTGCATAGGCACGTTGTCAATACTTAAGCAATAATTTAATTATCAACATTCACACATCATTTGCATTACAAAATTTAGTTTAGAAATTGAGACTAAATTACTTAATAATTACCCAAAATTTTAAGACTAAATTCTCAAATTTCTTAATAATTAGCTTTTTTTTATTTTTTATCAAGACTTAATAATTAGCTTTAATGATACCCACATGATTCGACCTAAAAAAAAACCTTTATACCCACGTGCAAACACGTGCAGACAAACTACTAGACAAAGCTGAAGCACATCAAATATAGCTAAAAATTAACTCTTAATTTCAAAAATATCACTTTTTATGAAAACTTTTAAATATATCCAAAAATTCACTTAAATAAACACAAATAGCTTCAAATTTAACAATTAAATAAATTAAAGGTTTTTTAGCTTTTGTCCCCTCAAGCTCCAGTCCAACTTCAACTTCACTTCTATACTCCACCACCACAACCATATCCCCTTCAACCCCCTTATCACCGACATTGAGCGCCACCACGGTTACCGCAAGTGGGAGCAGTAAAATTTCAATCATGCCTTCAATGCCTTTTTTCTTACTAATATCATTTTTAGTTTTAAATATAAAAATAGTTTTTAAAGTGAATCCACATGTCGTTATATAATTGTATTTGTGAGATCCACGTGGCGCCACATCATCACACTAACAGAGCAATATACAGATTTTTCATGAAAAAACTAAAACGATCATGATGGACAAATCCAAAGAAAAACTAAAATGATTCATGATAGACAAATTCAATAACACTACTATTGATTATCATTAATTGTTAAGGACCAGATTAAAGAGTTAAGTTAATGTCACCAATCATTTTGGCTAAAAGCTCTTTACACTATGTTTGGATAAGAGAAATAACTTGAAATTTGGATTAAAGACATAATTTATAAATTGACATGCACAAATTCCCTTGTTTGGATTCATAAATATAGAAATTTAGAATTTCTGTATGGAAAAAAAAACTTGGAATTTGGGAAATTTAGAAATTCCAAGTTTTTTTTTTCCATGTAAATAGGTGTCATTTTCCAATTTTTATGATTGAGAGTTTAAAAACAACAAATTACGTATTCAATTCCATTGTTCTTTTAGGTTATCCAAACAAGAAAATTCACAAATTTTATAGAATAAAATTCCATCATTTAAATTTCAATCATTTTAAAATTCCTTAGTAATCTTAAATTTTTTCGTTCAAACATAGTTGTAAACACAGAAAATTCCTGAAAACGAAAGAGACAAGAACAACGTGCACAAACAAATATTTGTATTTTTTGATGGTTTTGGGTTACAATCTCTCTCTATTTTGATCCTCTGATTTGATCTCCGTAAGATGTTGATTTGTGGATGTTTCGTTGATCCAAGGGCCGTCGGGGCTTGATCTTGGATGAACTGTTGGAAGTTTCTTCAAATGGTCGTGGGCTTGATCTTTGAAGGTGGATTTGAGCGGATCTTCAAGGGCTTTTGGGCTTGATCTTGAAGAAACAGTGATGAACAGATCTTCAAGGGCTTTTGGGCTTAATCTTGAAGAACGGTTGGATGTGTGGATTTGTCGACGTTTGTTGATCCGAAGGGCCGTTGGGGCTTGATCTTGGAAGAACGATGAACGAAGAACACTTTCTTCAAGGGCCGTCGGGGCTTGATCTTGAAGGTGGATGATTGTTGATCCAAAGGGCCGTTGGGGCTTGATCTTGGATGAACGGATGATGAATGATGGTGCTTTCTTCAAGGGCCGTCGGGGCTTGATCTTGAAAGAGCGATGGACGAAGAACGAAGAACGAAGAGAGCTTTCTTGATTCTTCGGGAACCTGGATGCTTGAGAGCTTCGGAGTTTCAGAGCTTCAGAGCTTCAAGGTGTAATATGAATTGGTTCTCTTAAATGAATGAAATAGGCTTGTATTTATAGAAATTTCCAAGGCCTAATTTTGAATATAACATTCCAGATGAAATAAGTCGTTTCTGCCAGGTGTTGACACGTGTCCTATTTGATGACTTTTCCAACTCATTTCAATTTTCGTTGAGTCACACGCTACGTGTAAAATTTATGTAATACATGAGCGTTGACACTTTGATTTACCGGTCAACATTTATTTACGAAATTTCGATGTCTACAATAGTATTAATTTATTTGATTGTTAAATTTAAAAGTATTTATGTCTATTTAGATAAAATTTTGGATATATTTAATTTTTTTTATAAAAAGTGATATTTTTGAAATTAAATTTTGACTCTATTTGATAAATACTCGTGCAGAAGTTGGAAGTTTTGGTAGTCCATGGCCATGGAAATCGTAGTCGGAGACCGTACATCAGTTATAGTAGAGAAGGGTCAGAAGGCTGTGTTTGGACGAGGAAATGCGTACACCACCGACGACCGAACGGTGTCTCGCCGTCACGTCTCTTTCGTTTCTGAGAATAACCAAACAAAGGCCTGCGTTTCGTTTGAGGTTCTGGGAAAGAATCCCATGTGGACCCGGAGCGAAAAAGATGGAGAAGTTAGGGTTTTCAGGAGGTCGGAGAAGGGTGAGGTGGCGGCCGGTGATTGGTTCTGTGTGTCTGGGAAGAAACCCGTTTGGTTTAGAGTGGGAAAGGTTGGGGTAGATGAGAGAGAGAATAGGGTTTTGGAGAGTGAGCTTGAGTTGGCTGAGGGTTCGGGAAGTGGGTCTGAATTGGAGAGTCTCGATTTTTCCGGCATTGACCCTGTTAAAGGTTTGGCTTTCTGTTGCTTAAATCTTGCTTGTTTGCTGAGAAAATTGATGAATTGAAGGGAAAAAAAATGATGTCTTGAATGTTTAGGGTGGTTTTTTCTTGCTAGTTATCCTGAATTTTTGTTGTGAGAGCGATTATATGACTGAATTTACTGTTGTTTGCTGAGAAATTAGGGGAAAATGAAATTTGAATCTTCTGAATTGGTTTTGTTTTGAGAATGCTTGGTGTAAAATACACAATTTGTGGAAATTATGAAAAAGGTTGTGGTTGGTGTTTTGGGTTCGATTAGCTGTAAGTCACAGAACGGTAATGAAAAATTTGAGGTCACAAAGTTCTGCAGAATTTGTGCTACTTATACTTCCTAGGCCATTGAATGTTTCAGAGATTACCGTGGTGGGTTTGGAATTTAAGAATACAAGAATTTCTACGAACAGAAAGCGTGAACTCAAGGTTGCCAATCTGTTGTACAAAGGTTATTGATGTTAGCACGAAAAGGTCACAATTCTATAATACATTACATGCTGCAGACCAGATTGAGTCCATTCGTCTAACTTTTTTTGCTTCGTAGCAGCGAAGGCAGAGATTTGCGGCAGTATATATGATAGTGCACATTTCTTGTCGTTTTTTCTTCTCCATGCATATGGTAGGCCGAAATGCCAATTATGCTTGTTATGATAATGTCGCACTGTTTTGTGATTGCAGAGCTTGGTTTTGTTGTAATGGGGCACGAGTTTGATCACTGTCCAAAGCAAATGATCCGTGATGTAAAGAAGTGGAACTGGTTCCTCGAGGAACCTGGAAAAGAAGGTGACGATGATGATGGATTTGAGAGGAAGGAGAGGAGGGGTGTGCGGAGAAAGAGGGGAAAAGGTGAAGAAAATGAGGACGACGAGTGGACAGGGGAGAGTGAAGCTGATGAAGAGGCTGTTGCAAAACTAAGAAAGGTAAATACACCAAAATATTCTACAAGATCAAAGGCGCGTAACAAACCTCAGAAGGATACAAAGAGGGGTAAATGTTCTGCGCACAAGAAGACTCCTGGCGTGGATGAAGAGGGAATGGAAGATGAAGATGACGAAACGCTCGGAGGCTTCATTGTTGCTGAGGAGGACATGGAAGAAGACGAGCTAGAGGAAACGGAAGACGAGGAGGAATTTGTCGAAGATGATGATGAAGAAGAGTAGATGATTAACACAAGCAAGTTTTGAATGTGAATAAGATGGGTAGTTGGTTTTACATTTTCCAAACGTAGCATATGTACCATGATATACGGAATGTTTTTTTCTATCTTTTCCTCATATTGGCTGGAGTTAATGTTCCTTTTATGGTTGAATTTTGCAAATTTAAAAATCCCAGTTTTTTTTTTTTTTTTAAATTTTTTGAAACAAAAATATTATCTACACTAAAGGGGATGAGTTAGACTAAGTCTTACGATAGGCTAGTAATAATGTGGTTCAAATTCGTCTTTGACGAGAATTGAACCTAAGATCTCTCACTAACAAGTGAAGAGGAACACCATTAGACTGTAATACTAAGTGGAAGCTCGTCACTCAATCTGAGAGCGCGACATCATCATCCCAGTTTTAGATAAAGAAAGTGAACCTTGGTGAGCGTCATGTGGCAAAATATGAAACCAATGGAAAACCCTTAAAATAATTTCCAAAATGATTTTGGTTTCTTAAAGTAACCATATGATAATTTAACTACTTAAAACTTTTTTCCTCGTGATGAAATCACTTAAAGTAAATTTTCGTGACAAAATTATTTATTGTCAAAAGCCTCTAGAAATTTCTTTGCAAAAAGTCGCACATGTCTTGTGATAACTATTTTGTAACATATTGCCATTTGAATTTTTTTCTTATGACATATTATAACTTAACTTCATTTTTTGCGCCACACTACCTTCCCAATCACATTGAACAATGGGGGAAAAAATTTCGAAAACTCATTTTGTATATTTTTTATGTCACGACGAACATGAGAATGATATGAGTTTGTACCGTAGAATATAATGATATGATTTTGTACTACAAATGGGCTAAGTCATTAGAAAGAAGCATTGAGCTCAAGTCGAATCTCATAAATTGTTCGGTTGTGGTTGCTTTCCACAATAATTTTAGTTTAAAGTTAAACTGAACCAAACCACATTGCTTAATCATAACTAGTTTGGTTGCAATTTGAGGGACACAACGTATCCAAAATAGCACAATGACCACCCCCAAAATATTAATTACTTGAGAAAAGAGTCGAAAGGGAAATGTATTAGGTTTGATTCTCGTTAAAGAAGAATTTGAACCACGCTAGTTCATTTTCGTTTGTTAAAATAAAAAAAAATCTGCCAACGACGTCGTAGCAGGAGGTACTGAACCGTATACGTTGCGAGGTGCGCCGCCCACAATGTCTCGCCAAGGCTTTCGATACAAGTACCTGAAAGTGCAAAATTGAAATTTAAAATTGACGCCCGGTTCTCTTCCACGGTGCCGTTTTTTGCGCTAGGGTTCTCTGCAACCACAAAAATCCAATTCCAAGTTCCACCACTCTCGCTCTCACAAACCCTAGCTATTAAGGTAATTAACTAAAATCCCTAATTTTAGGGTTTCATCGCAACTATTTCTCTCAGAATTTGAGCTTCCACAATGGCGTAATTGCAAGCTAAGCTAGGGTTTAGTCTCCCTCAAACTGATTCCTTTGCAGGTCAAATTGGCGGAGAAGAAATTAGGGCCTGAGACCCAATGGAAGATTACCCCGAACGCAGTCGTTTCGACGACGACCAAATCGCGTACAATGGAAACGAAGAATTTGAGCAACCGCCAGAGCAGCAATTTGAAGAATTTGAGCAGCAGCGGGAGCAACAATCGAACCATAACTTAGATAATGAAGGCAATGAGTTTAGGGATTCGTTCAGTCATCGCGATTCAGCTGCGGGGTTAGTTAGGTTTTGAGCTTTCAAGTTAAAGATTTGATCTTTCTCAGAAATTTTGACTTTTGTGGATACGATTGAGATTAGAATAAGATAGTAACATTTGGGTTTGTTTTGTTATGTGGTAGAAAACTATTTGTAGGAGGCGTTTCTTGGGAGACTACTGAAGGTATTTTGGTTAAGCTTTCAATTTTCGTGGTGCATCGAATTTACTTGAAATTTGAAAAGAACATAGTTTTACATCTTGGGTCATGTTGAGGTCATGGATTGTACATTTTTCTTGTAATCCGATTTGTGATCGGGCCATTTTTTGTGTAAGCTTTTGCTATTCAAAGTGAAATTGAATTTTTGAGTTTGAGATATCGAAGAATTTGGAACCCTCACATGGCTGGGCAATGTTGTGTAACTTTTCGTCTTATATTTTAGATGTCGGCGCACTTCTATGCATAATTTCTACTAGATTAGTTGTTTTTCTTTATTGAGTATGGCTGGCTGGTGTAATTCTGTATGCACCGTTAGAAATTAAGGTGGCGGTTGGGTAAAACTATCCATGCTATGGGTCCTGTTGGGACTTTGGACAGCTTCCTTCAGTGGCTAAATGTTGGGGTTGTGATGGAGGAGGGAGGAATTTTGGGTTTGTTTTTTAGGGGGTGGTGGAAAGACTGGGCGCCCAAGCAAGAAGGGTTTGAACTTCCCAAAACTTCATTGCTGGAGTTTTCTGAAATTTCTCCTGGATGAGAACATATGAAATATTTTCGTTTCATAAGTTTCTATTGAATGCTATTGGGAAGTGTCGTTGTCTGCTATGATTTCCATTAGTATGTGTTTGTTACTTACTCACTCACGTACTTCTGGCTTTTTGCTAAAGTGCATCATATAACATGTTGCACCTCAGGTAATATGATATGACTATTTTACTAATTTTATGGTCTTGATGTCATTTTGACGTCCTTGTTAAACATCACTTTCTTTTATCAATAATATCAGTTCCCCATGTATCCTCACCATTACTAGATAAAGGGGAGATATAGTTGTTCCTTCATGACTAGTATAACTCAGCGTTTGATGATTTTCCTTTCAGAGAACTTTTCTAATTACTTCAGCAAGTATGGAGAAATAGTTGATTCTGTTATAATGATCGACAAACATACTGGGAAGCCAAGGGGATTTGGTTTTGTGACATTTTCTGATCCAATGGTTATTGATTCAGTGTTGGAAGTAGAACATGTCATAGATGGCAGAGTGGTAAATATCTAGTGCCTAATAGTATAATGCCATCGTTTTCCCGAAAATTGAATTGGATTGTTGGATAGTTTTGTCTAACTCAGCTCCTCGATTGGTGAAAAAATATTCTTGTACCAGGTAGAGGTGAAGAGGACAGTACCCAGGGGGGATGTAGGGTTTAAGGGGGCATCGAAAAGAAAGAAGATTTTTGTTGGTGGAATACCAACGTCTTTGACTGATGGTATAGTAGAGACTACTTTATATGTTCATTATGATTGTAATGAAATTGTTTTTTGTTTTCATTTTTGACATTATGGTAAACATTGCAGATGAGCTGGGGGAATATTTCTCTGCATATGGCACCATTGTTGAGCACCAGATTATGCTAGATCATAAAACCGGGAGGTCTAGAGGATTTGGGTTTGTCACTTTTGAGAATGAAGATGCTCTTGACAAGATATTTTCTGATGGAAAAGTACATGAACTTGGAGGCAAACAGGTACAACTGAAAAAAATGATTTGTTTATTTTTTCATGTACGGATTTTGGATGAGATTTTCTGATCTCTTCACCTTAATGTTCAATGTAGGTAGAGATTAAGAAGGCTGAACCTAAAAGGGGTGGTGGCGATTTCAGTGGCAGTTCTGCCAGGTCGTATGGTAGCTTAAGTGGTGCTGCAGCTGGTTATGGTGCATATAATTCTGGAAGTCGGCACAATGGAAAAATGGGCAGGGGATTTGGTGGGGGTGGGGGTGGGTATGGCCCTTATGGTGCCTACAACAATTACGGTGGAAATTATGCTGGAGGTTATGCAGGTTTCTATGGGGGCTATGGTGGAAATTATGGTGGATATGGATATGGATTTGGGTACGGTGGGCCCATGTATGGCAATGCTGGATATCCAGCCAGTGGTTATGGCATGCCTGCTGGTTATGGTGGCAATACTGCCTATGCAGGTAGTAAAGGGTATGGAAGTGGTGCTGCTGGTCGTGGTGGTAGTAGGGGCGGTGGCAGTTATGGTTCCAGTGGAGGATATGATAGGAGTGATGGATATGATAGGAGTGGTGGTTCTTCTACTGGAAGATATCATCCATATCAGAAGTGAGGAATTTTCACAAACTTCACACGTTTGTAATCCGCGTCCACCGACTATTGGAACGTCAACAAAATTGGCTGTAACTGTTAAAAATTCACGTATTTCAGTATTTGTTAAAACTGTCGTACCTACGAGAATGATTCATTTGGAAGAGGAAGCAAATGACAACTTAGGCAGCATTAACGGGTCTCCGTTAGGAGGTTTTATAGGATCGTTGCACACCCTGTAAAGAAAATTAGTGCGCAGATCGAGTTTTAGCGAGTCGAATAGAAATGCTAAGAGTTTATTTACGTCTCACCGTTTAATTCCAGGGTTGATTTTGATTGAAATGTCTTACCAGTTTGTAGTTTTAAAGGATCTTTGTACATTAGAAATATATGGTGTTGGTCTGTGTTATGTGTGGTTTCCCTTTTCTTGACCCTAACAGGGTTGGGGACAATGTCAAGTGTACACAACAACTAACATGTTCAAGATTTAGGCTCTCTCTTGAAAAAGTCCCTTTTAGTTTTCTGATCTTTTATTTTATGTGGGTCGTCTGAAATAATGAGGTGTGCTAAAATCAGCTCTTTTCAACCTTTTATTTTATTTGCTAGTCATGTGACTAGTTTTTTTGTTTTTTATCAAACGAAAGATTTTGTTAGATTATGTGTTAGATTAGCCACCGATGAAATTTGAACCCACGTCATCATGCAATGGTTCATATCCTTTACAATACTGTGGCAAAGGACCACTTGTCATGTGATCAGTTTTGTATGAGATAACTTTTATGTTTTGCCAATAATAGTTTTTCGGTTTTTATTATCTCTTAATCATGAGTTTATGTCTCCTATCCAGCCTAAAGAATAAGAAATTGACCAACTAGTCTTTTGCTCAACGATAGTTGTCGTCATTTGCTCAGAGATCTTATTCTTGAATGATGACTTTGATTTAAGGACGATATATATTTGCTATGAGTTTGATATCAGGTGTGCTATGACCATGGTCTAAAATATCCATAATATCTCGATATTTCCATCAAAATTTCCGTGTTTTTGGACTATCGATATTTCCGATATCATCGATATTTTAGACCTTGCTATGTCACTCATGTATCTTACCATGCAATGTATAAAGTGTAAAATATTGTACTAAT